CTCTCCCAGGGTAGAAGACCGTGCCGATGCTCTCGGGGCAAACGTATGTCCGCGAGCCTGCCGTGCCGACCCACTCGGCGGGCGGTGGAGAGCCCTCGACCTACTGACGTCCGCTTCGGGGTCCTCGCGTGGGGGTCCTCTCGACGGCGCGAGGTGGTCGGGGGGCGCAGTTCGGGCCCGAGTGCGTGGCGTTCGGGAAGGGACGTCGACCCGGAGGCTTTGCGTGGGTTCAGGAGAGACATTTGCCTCCCGAAGTGCATTTTGAGGAGGAGATCTTGGCCTCCTGAAGTGAATTCCGCTTGAAGTGACATAAGTTTAGGAGTGAGGTGGTGTCGGTGTGATGTGCAGTGATGAAGTGATGAAGTGGTGGAAGCGAGTGACGTGTGGGTCAGATACCCGACTCAGGATTTACGATTCGCTCTTGGATACTTCAGCCGACGTTAAGATTTGAATACGGATGTAGTGCCAGTCGCGGCTGTGACACTGAAAGTAATGCGAAATTTGTAGGTCGTCGTGAAAGATGTTTAGAACTTTAAGATCTTTTTTTTCTTTTTTTTTCTTTGTTTCTCTTTTTTCCCTGTGAATATAAGGACGGAATTCCCTTAGTGTGACACTGGCTCCTTCTCTACCTGATGATATGATCATGCACAGAAAAAAAAATAAATAAAATTTGAGAAAAACATTAAACAAGACAGCAGTAATTTCGAACACCATCAGCTTTTTTTTTCCTTTTTTATTCAAGTCGTATGGTGTATGGTCTACCAGCTACACGTACAAGAAACACATGTTAAACACCTGGTTTACTGAGGCTCGTTGCAAAAAGGAACGAAATAAGTGCTGTGTGGGAGAGAAAGTGTTTTTTGCGTAGTAAAGAAAAGGCACTGAAGTAACTAGTGAGTCTGATATCTAAGTCGGTCACAGACCATTTTCTTGCTATTGATGGAATAGTGGGACAAAGTGGATTGGAAAAAAGGTGTCTACGAAAATATACATGTTGCAAAGTTTCCTGAATTTCGATAGTTTTCACTGTAGATAGATTATCTACATTGCTGTTCTATTTGCTTTGGTAACGCAAATAAAGCAGAACTTGAAAATGAGTGCAGGATACCGAAGAAAATGTTTTAGAAAGAGAATCTAGATAGTGAAAAATATTGGGTTTTATATTTAGTGCTTGCGAAGTTTTGTGATTTATGCTCTTCCTCCCCCCCCCCCCCTCTCTCTCTCTCTTTCTCTCTCAGTCTCTTTCTTTTACCCCCTTGCCCCCTCTCCCTCACTCCCTCCCTTCCACTCTCTGTCTCTATCTCTTTATCTCTCTATCTTACTATCTATTTCTTTCTCTATCTCTGTTTCTGTTTCTCTCTCGTTTACTCCCTTTCCGTCTCTCTCTCTCTCTCTGACTATCTATCTATATATCTATCTATCTATCTATCAATCTATCTATCTATCCATTTCTCTCTCTATATATACCCATCTCTCCCCCCCCCTCTCTCTCTCTATCTATCTATCTTCAACCCCCCTCTCTCTCTCTTCTTTTCTTTCTTTTTCTCCCCCCCTCCCTCCTCTCTCTCTTTCTTTCTCTGTCTGTGTCTGTGTCCCTCACTTTCTCTCTCTCTCTCTCTCTCTCTCTCTCTCTCTCTCTCTCTCTCTCTCTCTCTCTCTCTCTCTCTCTGTCTGTCTCCCTCTTTCTTCCTCTCTTTCTGTCTGTCTCCCTCTTTCTCCCTCTCTCTTGCTATATATATATATATATATATATATATATATATATATATATATATATATATATATATATATATATATACATATATATATATATATATATATATATATATATATATATATATATATATATATATATATATATGTATATGTATATATATATATATATATATATATATATATATATATATATATATATATATATATATGTATATGTATATATATATATATATATATATATATATATATATATATATATATATATATATATATATATATATATCCCCTCCCTCCCTCCTTCCTTCCCTCCCTCCCTCCCTCTCTCCGTCCCTCCACCCCCTCTCTCTCTCTTCCTCACCGCCATATTCCCACCCCTTCAGTGAGCTCCGAAATCTAACCGCAGATTTTGTCTTCCAGTGTAAACACACTCAACGACTAAGATTTTGATTAGAATCCTGCAGTGACACGACAAGATGTGCTAGAAGCCAAGACTCCGGCTTCCTTCCTCCTCGCTCTCGAAGTCTTCACACGACCTAGGCTAAGTCCCTCTCCCTGTGACTGTGTCTCAGGAAGGTGTAGCATCTTTGGAAAGTGGATCAGGAATGTGTATGTGAAAATATATTCGTAAAGTGTATCGTTAGACCTGTTTTTTTTTCATAGAAGGTCTGTCTTTCTGTCTTACCTTCCTCCTCACTGGCTTGCCGAAGTCGAGAAGAAGAAGGAAAAGAAGAAGATTGCGAAAAGAGACGTCCCCACGAAGAAGACAAGAAGGAAAACTCGAAAACACGATAAAGAAAAAACACGACTGAAAAGGGAGAAATCGAATCAAGCGATAAGGAGGTATACAAAGAGTATATCACAAGTGCCATTTTTTTCCTTATTTTCTCCCCTTGCTCATCATGGCGAAGCTTCTTAACATTTTACTCCAGAGGTCTGACGAGTCTATTCCTTGGGGCTTCAGGCTTCAAGGAGGAGCTGACTACAAGAAACCCTTGACTGTCCAGAGGGTGAGTTCTCGTAGATTTTTTTTTCCCTGTTTTCTTTTCTTTTCTCATACATTACTTAATTTCTTAGTGTCTAGTGACCTTCCTATGGTTAAATCTTGTTCATTTTTTTACCAATTTCCTTCTTCTTTCTTTTTCCTATCTTTTTTCTGGTGAAGAGGATGTCTTTGTTGACTTTTTAATCGTTTTCTCAGCTATATATGATGCTGAAATTCAGAAGGCTAAACACAATACATTTTACACGAAATAATATCAATGTAATTATAAAAAAACAAACTTTTTTTCTTTACTTATTAATTTTAAGTGTGGAAATCTATTTAAAAATATGAAATAATGACTTAAAAGTAGAAAGCCCGAGGAAGTTTGGCAAAGGGATAAAGGACACTGGAGGGAAGTGGTGAAAATAACAACAACGAACTCACGCTTGTCATACGTATAATAATAATTTCATCTCCTGAACACATGGGATAAATCAAACTAACAAAGCGAAGAAGGCGAAGGAAGGAAAAAAGAAAACAGGAGGGAAAGTGCGAATGAGAATTAGAATAAGACGAAGACGAAGATGAAAACATTGGCTCAACCCCACTGATTTTATCGGCCGTTTTACGAGTGGGCTATTTTTGGCGTGACAGAGATAATGACTTGGTCAAATGGAGAGTGTAGCTGTAGAGGCAAAATAAAGGAGAGAGGAGGCTGCGAGAACATAATAAACAACCCAGAATGTGCGGTAGAAAAGGAAGAAAAGATAAAAAAAGGAGAGAGAGAGAGAAAAAAGGAAAATCATGATACTTCTTTTGTTTACTCCGATGCATTGTGGGAAACAGTCTCTCCATTCGAATTTTTTTTTTTCTCGTGAGGGAAAAAAAAACTAGTTGTAAAGGCGAAACGATGTTTGCAATATTGAAACAGGAGTAAACCCTGGGTATTTAACTCTAATTGTACTGGTAATCGCGTTACCCGTATCTGATAAGGAAATGTAAACAGGGGATTTCATGTTCTCGGAAATGGGCACGTAACTTGTTCACCGATACTGACCTTTCCTTTTTATATCTTTCAAATGATTTATCGTCAAAGTGTCTATTTATTCTTTATTCATTTATTCATTCATTATTTTGCTGTTCTTGTTTTTTTTCGGGTTAGTTCTTTTCCCTCACACTGTACGACATTATATTATTATTACTACTATAATTATTATTAGCAGTATTGTTATTATCATTATTATTATTATTATTATTATTATTATATTATCATTATTATTATTATCATTATTATTATTATTATCATTATCTTTATTATCATCATTATCATTACCATTGCCATTTTTTTCTTCTTCTTCTTCTTCGTCTTCTTATTATTATTATTATCAATGTCATTATATTATTATTATCATCAATATCACTTTTATTATTATCATTATCAATATCATTGTTATCATTACCATTATTATTATTGTTATTATTATTACTATTATTATTATTATTATTATTATTATTATTATTATTATTATTATTATTATTATTATTATTATTATCATTATTATTATTATCATTATTATTATTATTGTTATTATCATTATTATTATTACTATCATGATTATTATTACTATTATTATCATCGTTATTATCATTATGATAATAATAATAATAATAATAATAATAGTAATAATAATAATAATAATAATTATTATTATTATTATTATTATCATCATCATTATTTTTTAAATTTAATTGTTATTATTACTACTATTATTGTTATTATTATTATCATTATCATTATCATTATCATTATTATTACTATTATTATTATTATTATTATTATTATCATTATCATTATTATCATTATTGTTATCATTATCATCATTATTCTTGTTATTATTATTACTACTATTATAACTATTATTTTCATTATTATCATTATCATTGCCATTCCTTTTATTATTGTTATTATTAATAACATCATTATCTTATTATTATTATTATTATTATTATTACTATTATTATTATTATTATTATTATTTTTATTTTTATTATTGGTATTATTATAATTGTTATTATTATTATTATCATTATTATTATTATTATTATTATTATTATTATCATTATTGTTATTATTATTATTATTATTATTATTATTATTATCATTATTATTATTATTATTATTATTATTACTATTATTATTATTATTATTATTATTATTATTATTATTATTATTATCATTATTGTTATTATTATTATTACTCTTGTTACCATTATTATCACTATTATCATTAATACTATTATTATAATTTCCATTTTCATTATAATTTTTTAGAATATCTTATAATTATCATTACTATCATCATCATAATCGTTATCATTATTATTGTTATTATTGTTATTATTATTATTATTATTATTATTATTATTATTATTATTATTATTATTATCATTATTGTTATTATTAATTTATTATTGTTATTATCATTGATATTGTTATTACTATTATTATTGTTATCATTATCATAATTTTTATCATTACTATTTTTATCTATTTATTTATCAATCTATTTATCTATCCATTATTATTATCATCCTTTTTATCATTACTATTATTATTCTCATCCTCATTATTGTTATTACGTTTAACATTATCATTATTATTATAATTTTTGTTATGATTTATATTATTATTATCCTCATCATTTTGTTGTTGTTGTTGTTATTATTATTATTATTATTATTGTTATTATCATTATTAACATTATCATTATTATTGTAATTTTTGTTATGATTTATATTATCATTATCCTCATCATTTTGTTGTTGTTGTTGTTGTTGTTGTTGTTATTATTATTATTATTATTATTGTTATTATTATTATTATTGTTATTATTATTATTATTATCATTATTATTATTATTATTATTATTATTATTATTATTATTATTATTATTATTATTATTATTATTATTATTATTATTATTATCATTATTATGATTATCATTATTATTATTATCATTATTATTATTACTAATATTATTATCATCATTATCAGTGATAATGATAATAATAATTAGGATGATATTATTACTGTGTTCATCAAAGATATTTTTGTTAGTGATATCACTTTTATTATTATCATCATAAGATTAATTTTGTTATCGATATCATCATCATCAGTATTGTTATTATTAATATTATTATTGTCATTATCATTATTCTTATTCTTATTCTTATTCTTATTATCATTATTATTAGCTTTTAATTATTACCATTATTATTCTTATCATCGTTATAATCATTAATATTATCCTCGTTATTGTTATTTTTGATATTATATCATTATTATTATTATTCTATCATTACACTTACTCTTATTGTTATCACCATTACTATCATGTATTATTATTATTATTATTATTATTATCATTATTATTATTATTATTATTATCAATATTGCCATATCCTTGTTATTATAATTATTATTATTATTATTACCAATATCATATATTTAATTTCATAATTTTTATAGTTTTATTATTTTTATACATAACGTTACTATTATTATCATTATAATTATTATTGTTATTCGTAGTATAAATAATATTATCATTATGTTATCATCATTATCACTATCATTACTATACACCGGATGATGATTTTATGAATCGACTTTATTATGTTCATCTTCTTCTTGAGTATTATTATTAATAGTAAGAATAGAGTCATGATGATGATGATACTGATAGCGAGTTAATTATACTATGAATACACATACACACACACACACACACACACACGCACGCACGCGCACACACACACACACACACACACACACACACACACACACACACACACACACACACACATACACACACACACTTGAATATGCTCGCACACTCGCACACACACACACACACACACACACACACACACACACACACACACACACACACACACACACACACACACACACACACACACATACACACACACACTTGAATATGCTCGCACACTCGCACACACACACACACACACACACACACACACACACACACACACACGGACAGCGGAAGGAACGAACAGCTCAGGTAAGAAACGGAAGGGGAAGGAAGGAAGAGAGCAAATAAGATACGAAAAAGAGGAATAGAGGAATGAGGAAGAGAGGGAACAGCTGAAACCGTGCCCCCCCCCCTCCCCCAGGCCACAGGCGGCTCATAACAGGCCACGGGAAGGCTAAGGTTGGCACAAGAAGACATAAACATATTTAGAGAGGACACAGGTAGATTTGCTTGGTTTAGTTGGTGAGTTGATGTACGCCTAATACAGGAGCATATCAACTGATGAAATTATTATATCTATAAACAATTTATTCATATATATGTGTCTACACACACACACATACACACACACACACACACACACACACACACACACACACACACACACACACACACACACACACACACACACACACACACACATATATACACACAGCTATGCTTCATACTTTCCTAATGTATTTGGTGAAAGGACAATAACATTCCTATTCTATGTAAATGAGATAACCTACTTCAACAGTAGCACTGAATATATTTTCCTTTAGATCTGCCTGCACTCTCACCCTTCAAAACATTTCAGCCTACAACGCTTTAGGCTTCATACCAAATATCTCTGGCCTTTTCCCCGACCAATCAGGACAGTCTGACAGAAAAAAAAAACATTTGTTTACCATCGACATTTTACTACCTGGCAACTCTTCATACGGGAACGTTCTTTTAGGCTGAGCGATTGCTGATGAAAAAAAAAAATCCTGACGGTGATAGGTTAATATGCAACTGATGTTGATATTGAAAATCAAACATTTATTATACATAAAGGTGTATGGCCGTCCCTTTGATATTCAGCAAATAAGAGAAAAAAACATAAGTACATGAAAGCTATATATATATATATATATATGTGTGTGTGTGTGTGTGTGTGTGTGTGTGTGTGTGTGTGTGTGTGTGTGTGTGTGTGTGTGTG